ACCCTTTAACCAATATCTCCCCATTTTGCCCACACCTCTGCCCCTAACAATCACCATTCTTCTCTCTGATTATGAGTTAAATTTTTTTTAGATTCCACATAGAAATGAGATCATACAGTATTTGTCGTTCATTTAGCATAATATCCTCCATGTTTATCCATGTTGTCACAAATAACAGGATTTCCATTCTATGACTGAATAATATTCTATGGTATATAATTTTACAATGTGTGCATCTATTAAAGCATCACATTGTACACCTTAAATAAAATAAAAAATTACATTGTACTACCTAAGTATATACAATTTTTATTTGTCAATTATACCTCAGTAAAGCTGAGGTGGTGGTGAGTAGAACTTAAACAAATGTGTAAAACCAAAACAGAAAGAAAAGAAAGAAATGGAAAGAACTTCCTAGTGAGAGATTGAGCAGTGAGCATGTGTTAGCACATAGCCCTCTGCATTCCATCTTATAAAGTTTGTTAAAGAGAAAATCACAGGCCTGAAATGGTATCATTTCAGCCCATGATACCAAACCTAGATTTAACACCTGACCTAATTGCAGCTTTAGTCTTCACCAGAAACACAATTTTAATTAACTGGGCAGTGCCAATGAGGTATCTGTCACATGGGTCCTCCCCATCACCCACAGAAAGAAGCAGCAATCTGCGCGGTAAAACCCTTGCCGTTTCCTTCCCCCTAAAAGATGTCCTGTTCTAAATATAATCCTTTTTTTTCTTAAGAACTCCCTGCCACACCCTTCTTTCTATAAAAATCTTTCATTTGTATAACCCCTCGGACTCACTTCCTGAGGTCAGTAAGGACTCTGCTCAAAGGTCACCTCCTCAGAGAGGGTGTTCCTGGCCCCCAAGGGAAAGGGCACTCCACCAACATGGTTCATTTCTGCACAGCACTGACCACTGTCGAAAGGGATAGCATGTATTTATTTGTGTGCCCTGTGTCCCATGTGAGAGCAGGAACTTTGTCTTTTTCTTTCACACAGTATCTCTAGTGTGTCGAACATTGCTTGGCACACAGTTGATGTTGGCAAGTATTTGATGAATGAATAGATGATCTCATGCTGATCTCCATCTTCCAAACTTTCTTTTGTGTTAACTAATTCCATCTCATTTTGGTCCTGAACTCGACTCTGTTGTATTCTCTTCTCCTTAATGAAATTACCAGCTGCTGGAGCACAGGGTCTGGATTTTACAATTCCCTACCACCTCCCAGAATGGCTGGCACAGACTGGGGAAAATATTAAGTGCTCAGTAAATACTTTTTGAACTGCAGTGGGAGGATTTGGTTTAGCTTATTCTTTTTTTTTTTTTTTTTTTTTTATTTTATTTTTTTTTAATCCTCACCGGAGGACATTTTTTCCATTTTTTGTTCAGGTAGAGTGGGAGGGAGAGAGAGGAACAGAGAGAGAGAGAGAGAAACATCGATGTGAAAGGAACACATCGAGTGGCTGCCACCCGCACAACCGACCAGGGCCGGGGACAAACTGCAACCGAGGTACATGCCCCTAGCGGGAACCGAACCCGGGTCTCTCAGGACCGCAGGCCGATGCTCTAACCGCTGAGCCAAACCGGCCAGGGCATGGTTTAGCTTATTCTTTACAATGAAGTTTAAAACATCACACATAGATTTGTTCATCCTTCATATGCATAGTTTGAACATTGAGTACATTTTAAACTCAGGCGTTTTGTAATCCAGAGAAGGCATAAATGGAAGTGTGGTGGAGTATACACAAGGGACCAGGTCTACCCATTTTTCAGGTAGTAATGGATGAAGTGGTCCTTTTTGAAAGGTTTTTTTTGGGGCCATTGATTTTAAATTTGGCCCAGTTTCAGGGTGACCATGCAGTCCTTTGACATGGACTTGCACATAGAAAACCCTAAGATTTCCACCAAAAAACTAAATGAGATTAACACATGTATAGTGCTTGACAGACAGACATGAATATTCATTCCTCCCCTCGTCCTTTTTACTGCCCTGCATTCCTTCCTTTCTTCCTTCCTTCTTCCAATAGTAGTGCTTACTTATCCTTCTAGGAACCAAACCATCCCCATTCACATCCATGCGGATCTAGCAGGGTCAAACACTATTCCAGTTGGGTATATGACTCAAGAGGATCCAAACAATGTAGCCAATCCCCATGGCTACAGCCATTTGTTGGGGATAGGCAAAGGACCCTGACCAAATCAATGAAATTCAATTCTACAACTTCTCAAAACACTGGGGGGAACGCTCTTTTTTCTTTTTTATACATTTACAAAGAGATTTATCATCATGTCACACATAATAAGGAAACATAAATACATTAATAACCAATCTTGAGGAAAGGATAAGTAAATTATAGCATATGAACTTAACAAAATTTTAAATCTAAAAATTAAAAAATATGAAAAAGTTATCACATGAAGAAAAATAACATAAAATTCTGATTATAATTATATAAAATATGTATGTTACTAGACTAATAAAGGAAGGGAAAAGTTTAGTAATGCCCACAAAATTATCTACTAGGATACAGTAAAATGCATATTTTCTTCATTTTTCTTTATTGTTGAAAGTATTACAGATATCCCCACCACCCACCCCACTGACATCCTCCTCCCTCTCCTATCTCTCTTGCCTTCACCATTCTGTTGTCTGTGACCACTGGTTATGCATCTATGCAAAGTAAAAATGGGTACCATTTCAGAGAAATGAAAGCAGACTTAGAAAGGTTAAGAAATGTGTCAGCTAGTAGGTTGTGAACTGGGACTCAAAATCCAGATCCATAGGCTCTAGCACAGAACTCATGTATGCCATCCTCTCTCTTCATCCCTTTCATTCATATTCTTTTTATGTATCACCTTCATTCATTCACCATAAAGTATTGTGATTGACCCTATACTTCCCTACCTAGGCAGTGTTACTAAATAACCACACAGCACTCCATGGAGTCTAGGCTCTGTTCCCTCAGTGTGTTTATCTTTGCCACATTCTCCTGACCATTTTCTCTCTCAGATTCTCCACTTCTCCAGGCCTCCCCATTAAACTGAGACTCAGCTATGTTTCCATGACTTCTCTGAAGCTTTCCCTGTGAACTCTGAAATTTATTCTTTTCTCTGGGCTGATCGTGGGAGTGGAAATGGAAAGTAAATGGGAACAAATTACCATCTGGACAGATCCCATGTAAAGATTTTTAGCTGGGTAAAACATTGATAAGAAGCCTTAAACAAATGTTGCTGAGGCTGTGGATGAAAAAGGGCCACATGCTAACCGGAGAAACTCAGGAGGCCTGCGTGGTGGTCTTGCAGACTCAGAGACCTAAAGTAACCACAAAGGATGGTCTGAAATGAAAACTTTTTAACTAAAAGCAGTTTATGGCAGGTAGTCATGTCTTAGGCTGGCATCTTCCCTGACAAAAGTCAATCTTTACCTTAACTGAGCCTGTCTGTTGTCTTTTTGCATCTATGATAACATATCTTTGGGATGTAAAAGTAAATGTCCTTTTTCCAGACCCCTCAAAGCATGGGCACTGCTCTTCAGAGACCACAAATCCCTTCATTGTTATTAATTCTTGACTGTTAACTAACTATCCTGTACCCACCTATGTAAAAGATGCATGTGTCTATCATTTTACTTTTCATCCAATCCCAGACGCGCCCCCGCCTTTGCTTTCTCCCACCCCCAATCTGTCACCAGTGGATTTCATGTAATTCACTTGCATCTTCTCTTTTGATTGTAATGTATAAAATCAGGTGCAAAACTGCCATCCTCTGGAGCATTATCTCAGTCTGTTGGGATTTTGCTTCCTGGAAACTGTCAACAGTTTTGGCTTAAATAAACTCACAAAAATTCTTCACAGGTTTGAATGTTTCTTAGGTTGACAAGGTACAAACCTACTTCTGACCATTTTTCTGTGTGGCTGAAAGGTTTCATTCTCCAGAATTCCTGACAAGAATGCACCTCCTTCAATACCTGTCCTACTATATAACAGAGCCTGGTACATAGTAAGGGCTCATTAAATGTACATTGAATCAATACCATTTGTGGCCCAGTGTATCTTACACAGTGCTTCCTGAGTTGATTTAAATAATGCCTTACAAATCCAGGTTATTTCAATAACAACCAAGCCTCACACCCTTAGAAGCTTAATAGCCTTACCCTTACGCACCTCTTTTTAATATACTTTCAGTTGCCTTCCTTTAAAATCTTTTTTTTTTTTAATTTTCACCCGAGAACACTTTTTTTTTGCATTTTATCTTCAGATAGAGCAGGAGGGGGAGAGGGAGGAAAAGAGAAAGAGAAACATTGATTGATGTGAGAGACACACCGACTGCTTGCCATCCACACAACCCCAACCAGGGCTGGGGACAGTCTGTCTGTGATTGAGGTACATGCCCTTAGCGGGTACCGAACCCGAACCCGGGATTCTGTGGGCCACAGACCTAGGCTCTAACCGCTGAGCCAAACCGGCCAGGGCCAGTTGTCTTTCCTTAAGACACTTGTGTTTTACTTAAAAAACCCCACACAAATATTTAAGTAAAAACCTGCTCAGCCCTGCCAGGCAGGTAATTGCATCTGCAGTCGCTTGGAATTGATATTAATCTGTTTGTGCTTGTGTCATCTGCTAGGCTCTGAGCTCCTAGAACTCGGCTGTTTTATTCACTCTTTACCCAAACCAAATCGTTATTCACCTAAGGGTAGTTATAATAGTGAAAATGTAGTAGGTTGTATACATTGTTCCGCAATCCATGGACCCAGGATGACTTGCATTGTATTTGTGCATTTAAAAATTTTTACTTATTAAATATCTCTGAGTTCTCTAGTAAGTTCATACCAACTCTGTATTAGTAAGATTAACATTTCCAATTTATTAAGAAAACAGACTCAGAAGATCAAGTCCTAAATCGAAGGTCACACAACCTCCTCACGCAGGTGAACTTCAGCAATGAGCCGCAGGGGGCGCCTCGGAGGCCTTTTGAACTCTTTCGGCCACCGTCGCCGGGTCTTCGGCGCCCTCTATTCGTGCGCCTGCGCGCTGCTGGAGCGTTGTCCGTTTCTTCGTCTGGAAGGACGTTGGTGTTGAGGTAAACTGTGTGTCTTTCGTGTACCCGGTCCGGGTTCCCATAACTGCCGCCTCCTGCCGCTCGCTCTCAGTCGCTTTGGCTTTGAGCCTGACTCGGCATCTCGGCGGTCGGGGAGCTTGGGACCTCTCGCCCGCGTCGACCCCTGCCCGACCCCCGCCGCGGCCGCGAAGCGGGGGCGTCCCGCAGGGCCTGTCCTGGGGCCTCGAGCGCGATGCCGGGCTTCGGGGGCGGCGGGCCTGGTCCCTGGGCCGCTGTGTTGTCCTGCCATTGTGACCTTGGTTAGGTCATTTGACCTGCCTGGCCCAGGTTCTCTCCCTCCTTTACTCGGCGGCCCAGGGGCTCGGGGGCAGCCAGCAGCGCCTGCGCTGTGTGGGAGCGTAGTGAAGGGTCACCGTGCCCGCGGCCGGAGCGAGGGCCGGCTCCCTGCAGCCTCCCGCGGCCCGGCCAGCGGCCGGCGCCTCCAGGCCTTGGAGCCGGGCCCCGGGCGGGCCCTCGGCGCGTCTGCTGGGTGTTCGCCGCTTCGTGTGCCCCAGTGTTCTCGATGAAGTGGGAGTAACAATTTGTTCCATAGGGTGGTCCCGAAGATTGAATGAATTGGGAAGTCTGTAGAAGAGTTAGTGCTAAAAATGTGTTTGCACTTGTCACTAACGTTTCCTGTAGTTGGGGGAGAGTTTCGCTTATATACTATTGTGCCGCAGTTATCTTATTTAGGGTAGTCGTTCAGCACGTGAGGGGGGATAGATGGAGCAGATGTGGGGTTCAGAACAAGTCACCCCAAGATATGCTTCTGGTGTGCGGATTGTTTTGAGCTAAGGGTAATTTTAACTTCAGGCCTAAGAGAAACATCTGCCTCCTCCCTTTAACTACTTAGAAGAATTTGAATGAGGGGCTTTGGCCATCATAAAAGATTATTACCCGTAATCTTTTCGACTCACCTATATGGCTGGCAAACTTTTATTTACTGAACATCCGTTCTTAACCTGCTATGACCCGTTGAAGCCCCCAAGGTGTATTACCCTGTCCCTAGCTCAGGCTGACCTACACCTAGATCTCCCTTTCTATCTCAGAACCTCTCCTGCATGTGGGGTTCCCGTACGTATGTATATAGTCAGTTATTTCCTCATGCTAATCTGTCTCATGTCTATTTGATTATTAGACCAGCCAGAAGATCCCTGAGGATAGAGAATTTGTTCTCCCCCCCCCCCCCCCCCCCGCCAAGTCTAAGCCATTAAACATCTTAGGCTTTGTTGGGGGAAATCAGTTCATTATCCATCCTTCCTGTGCCTCCCTAGATATTAAAATGCATTACGCATAAGAATTCTTTAGCTGTCTTATGTTGTAATACTTTTTTGTTTTATCTACCAAGGAGAACATAGCCACCATGTCTTCCGGTGCTTTGACAAAACCTCAGATGCGTGGCCTTCTGGCCAAGCGCCTGAGATTTCATATTGTTGGAGCCATCATTGTATCCCTGGGGGTTGCATCTTTCTATAAGGTATGTATGTTTGGTTTTTACTATGTGCTTATGGTCCCAGATGTGTTTTAAATTTAAAAATATATTTTATTTTCATAAGTAATATAGAGTCTTTTAAAGAAACTCTGTAACGTGCTTCTTCCTCTGATCCTTCCCCCACTCATCTCATGTAATAGGAAAGTACCTCTTTCCCTAGATAACTTGTCCTCCATCTTTAAATGAGGCTGCATTGGTTTGCTAGGGCTTCCATAACAAAGTACCACAAATTAGGTGGCTTAAACAACGGTTTTTTTTTATCCTCACCCGAGGACATTTATCCATTTTTTGTTCAGATGGGGGTGTGGGGAGAGAAACATCGACGTGAAAGGGACACATCGAGTGGCTCTCACCCACACAACCAACCAGGGCCGGGGACAAACTGCAATCGAGGTACAGCACGTGCCCTTAGTGGGAACCAAACCTGGGTCTCTCTGGACTGCAGGCTGACGCTCTAACCGCTGAGACAAACCGGCCAGGGTTAAACTACAGAAGTTTTATTTTCTGTTCTGGAAGCTAGAAATCTGTTTTCATCTGAGGCCTCTCTACTTGACTTGTAGATGGCTGTCTTTGGTTTCATATCTTTCTCTGTATGTATTAGCATTTCTCTCTCTGAATTTTCTCTTAATAGGACACTAGTCATACTTGATTAGCACCCACCCTAAAGATCTCATTTTAATTTAATTACCTCTTTAAAGACCTTATTTTCCAACACATGAATTTTAGGAGACAATTCAGTGCATAAAACAGACTATAATTGTGGAAGCTAACAACAACAAAAAAGATTGTTTTTATACCTGGACTTGTTTTGTGGGAACGGGAATGGAAGGTATTTTATCATACAGATTGCCTCTTCTTCTAAGAAGAGCCATGTGACAAATTACCTTACTGGGCTAGACCAGGAAATTCTAAACTGGTGATTAAGATTATTTATGGCCCTGGCTAGGTATCTTTGTTGGTTAGAGTGGCATCCCATACACCAAAAACGTTGTGGGTCTGATTCCCATCAGGGCACATACCTAGGTTGCGGGTTCGATTGGGAGGCAACTAATCAGTGTTTCTCTCACATCAATCCATGTTTCTCTCTCTAAAGTCAGTAAACATACCCTCCAGTAAGGATTAAAAAAAATGTTTCTGGAAGAGGTTGAAATAACAATTATGTCAGGTCTTAAAATCTAGGTTTGGTATCATGGGCTTTAGCACAAATACCAGCTTGTGCCTGTGGCTTTTCTTTCTTTCTTTTTTTAATCCTCACCTGAGGATATTTTTCCTTTTATTTGCAGATAGAATTAGGAGGGAGGGAGGGAGGGAAGGAGGGGTGGGGAGAGAGAGAGAGACAGACATCACTGTGAAAGAGACACATCGATTGGTTGCCTCTTGCATGACCTGGACCAGGGCTGGGGAATGAACCACAACTGAGGTTCATGCCCTTGACTGGAATTGAACCCATGATTCTTTGGTCCGTGGGCCAATGCTCTAACCGCTGAGCAAAACTGGCCAGGGCAGTGGCTTTTCTTTTTGACAGCCCCTTCAAGAATTGTTGCCACAGGAGAAAAAAAAAGAATTGTTGCCAAAGAATTACATTTTAATGCTTTGCCTTCTGTAGATTTTAACATTAATGTCTTTTTCTAAAATAAAGTATTTTTTATTGAGGCAAAATACACATAACAAAATTTAACCATTTTTAAGTATGTGGTTCAGAGGTATTAAATACATTTCTTAATGTTGTGCAATCTTACAGATTTCTGATGATTTCTTTGGCTCCTGCCAGTCTACCTTCCTTCCCCCCATCTAGGCAGACACCCAACAAGGAATTATACCTCCTTAGGCAAGGAGAGCCCTTCTTGCTGAGTAGTTTCCTCGAGGCCTCTTTCCCTTTCCTTGCACCTGTGTCAGTGTCCCCATCTTTTGTCTTAGGAAATACAGGGGTCAAGTTAGAGATGAACACAAACATATTGTGATTTATATTGTCTTTAGAAAATAAGTTTCTAATAATCTAAAAAAATAAGCCATAATGGGATATGCTATTTTCTAGTTTGGTGTGGCTGAACCAAGAAAGAAGGCATATGCAGATTTCTACAGAAATTATGATTCAATGAAAGATTTTGAGGAGATGAGAAAGGCTGGTATCTTTCAGAGTGCAAAGTGATCTTGGAATGTAAAGGTAATATGACATTACTACTTAAAAACCATTTAATGTGGTACAATACACATAAAATTTACCATTTTAACTGTTTTTAAATGTATAGTTTAGTATTGTTAAGCACATTACGTTGCATAACCAGTCTCAGAACTTTTCATCTTGCAAAACTGAAACTCTGCCCATTTAAACAACTCTCCATTCCCTCTTATTCCTGGCAACCACCATTCTACATTGTACAGTATTTGTCTTTTTTGTGACTGGCTTCTTTCACTTAATGTAATGTCCTCAAGGTTCATCTGTTACAGCATGTGTCAGAATTTCCTTTTTAAGGCTAAAGTGTATTTTATGTATACAGTGTATACTACATTTTATTCATTTATCCAACAGACACTTGGATTGCTTCTGTTTTTTTACTATTATGAATAACACTAGTATGATGTTTATAAATCTCTTTGAGACCTTGCTTTCAATATATTCGAGTAAATACACAGAAGTGGAGATGCTGGATCATATGGTAGTTCTTTCTATTTTTAATTTTTTTAAGGATCTGCCATACTGTTTTGCGTAGTTGGACTATTTTACACTGTGCCAATTGTGTAAAAAGGGTTTTAATTTCTCCACATCCTTAGTAAGTTTGTCTTCTGTTTAATGATGGTGAGCATCTTTTATCATGTCTGTTGGCCATTTATATATGTTCTTCGGGGCAATGTCTGTTCAAGTCCTTTGGCCGTTTTTAATCTGTCTCATGTAGTTAACTTTAATTTCAACTTGCAGGCCCCATTTCAGCTTGCTACTCCCATTGCAAACCTAGTAGCAGTGAGCTCTGTATCCTTTAGTTTGTATCTGAGAATGTCTTTAATTTCTTCCTCATTTTTGAAGGACAGTTTTCCTGGATATAGTATTCCCCTCCTTTGATGGGATGTTTTTTGTGAGCATTTTAAATATATTATCTGACAGCCTTCTGATGTGCAAGGTTCATGCTGATATATCCATTGATAATCTTATCGAGGTTCCCTTGTAGGTTGTAAATCTTTTTTTTTTCATTTGCTGCTTTGAAGATTCATTGTCTTTGGTTTTTGACAGTTTAATTATCATGTGTCTTGGTGTGGATCTCCTTGGGTTCATCCCAGTGCCAAGTAACTTCTTGTATTTGTATATCCATTTCTTCACAATTTAGGGAGTTTGGGCTGTTGTTTCTTCAGATAAGTTCTCTGTCCCTTCTGGGCTTCCATAATGTATATATTGGTCTTTTGGTGGTACCCCATCAGTCCTTTAAGCTCTCATTCACTTTGTTGTTGTTGTTGTTCTTTATTGATTTTAGAGAGAGAGGAAGGGAGAGGGAGATAGAAACATCGATGAGAGAGAACATCAGTTGGCCGCCTCCTGCATGCCCCCCCCGCTGGGGATCAGGCCCACAGCCTGGGCATGTGCCCTGACTGGGAATCAAACCAGTGACCTTTTGGTGCATGGGTCGACGCTCAACCACTGAGCCACACCGGCCGGGCTCACATTCACTTTTTCTTTTTGCTTCTTAGACTTAGTAATTCAAATGAACCGTTTTCAGATTTGCTGAATCTTCAGATTTGTTTGATTCTGTTGTTGAACTCCTCTAGTGAGTTTACCAATTCAGTTACTGTATTTTTCTATAGAATTTTGATTTTAAAAAAGATTTTTCTTTGTTGATATTCTCATTTTGTTCATTTATTGTTTTCCACATTTTGTTTAGTTGTCTCCGTTCCTTAGCTCATTGAGCATATTTAAGACAGTTGTTTGAAAGTCTTTGTCAAGTAAATCAGAGGAAGGTTTTTTTTCTTTCAATGTCGGTTTGTAGAGATTTATTTTGTTCCTTTGAAGGGGCCATGTTTTCTCTTTTTATGTCTTGTGATCTTTTTTCCCTTAATCCTCACCTGAGGATATTTTTCCATTTATCTTCATATAGAGTGGGGGCAGAGAGAGAGAGAAAGAGAGAGAAAGAGAAAGAAAGAGAGAAAGAGAGAAAGAAAGAAAGAGAAAGAAAGAAAGAAAGAAAGAAACCGAAACATCGATGTGAGAAAGATAACATCAACTGGTTGCCTTCCTATACGACCTGTCTAGGGCTGGGGCCGAACTGCAACCAAGGTATGTGCCCTTGACTGGAATCAAACCCACGACTCTGGTCAGAGGGCCAATGTTCTAACCACCGAGCCAAACCAGCCAGGGTATGTCTTGTGATCTTTTGTTGAAATTTAGGCATTTGATCAAACAGCCACTTTTCCCATTGTTTGCGGACTTGCTTCATGCAGAAGATCTTAACAGCCTGGCATAAAGGCTTAGGGTAGTCTCAAACCTTTTTTTGGGATATGTCTTCCTTACCCTTTGCTGATGCTTTTGTTCTAGTTCCCAGGTATACTCAGTTGCTTTCAAGAGTCCCTAAGATTCTCACCCCTGCTTCCCAGAAGTAGCCTTAGCTGTCCTTTTGTAACCCTCAGCCCATAATCTCTTGCTCATTTGGTGTCCATGAGTCTGCAGTCCTTCTGAAGCTCTCATGTTGTGGGACCCGTCATGGGCAGTTTGCAGGCTATCTAAATGATACCACCATTCCCATCAATGCTCTGAGATAGGCAAGATAGAAAACAGTGCCTAAAACAAGCAGAAACGTTGCAAGGACATTCCTCTTCTCCTCGTGCTCTGAGGGAGGAGCAAGGAATTGGCCAGGTTCCTCCTGACCATACTGTATTGTACTGAGGGGAGGGCATGGGGGAAGGGTGAGGAAAAAGTTAATGAAATTTCCTGCTGTTTTGGGTGGCTTTTCTTGTTTAGGTGTTTGCTTGATTGAAGCAGCTTCATAACTGGTTTCTAGAGTTCTCACAGACACATTGGTCCTTATATTGATGCTTTAAGTTTTTGATACCTTTTGTTAGTTGGGCGTCCATAAGTGACTTATTTTGGTTTGGTGTGTCATATCCACTAAGTGCTTATGCATCATGGACAGTGTGAATTAAGGTTTTATATAGTATAGAAAAGGACTGAAGGGATTGTGTGCTGATGAAAGGTCATCCACCAAATTTATGTGAATGCATGTGTCAAGCACCTGATGAAACTATTTACATCAGGAATCTTACCATTCATGTATTTTGTATTCAAGCTCAACAAAAAAGCAAGATAGAACAATATAAGTAGATTAAAGATTCTCTCCATCACCTCACTAAGTTTGATGTGACAAGGGGAATGTGAATCTATTTTTTCAGGCAAACTGTACCTGAAGGAGCATCTCAAATGTCAAATGCTATCTATCGATCTATCTATCTATCTAATCTATGTATCCATCTAATCTATCTGTGTAATCTATGAATCCATCCATCCATCCATCCATCTAATCTTTCCCAAGGCCTGGGGTTTAGGGGAGACCTACTACATTGGACTTAGATCAGTTTTCTGAAAGACTCAAAGGTAATTTTGAATAAGTAACTTTTGCCTAATATAAGATTCAGTTCTATAACCCATTTCTGTGGTTGTTTATCTGAGTATCTGCAGTGCAGATATGCAGATAGATGTATGCACTAATTAGCCCATAGAATTACTTAGAAAAAGTACAAGGAACTTTATTTCCAATTGTTGGAAAATTGATGAGGAATTATGCCGTTTTCATACCATGACCATTAAGTCCATTAGAAATGATAATTCACAAAGGAACATGAAGAAATTAATTTAACATAGAAAATTAGTAATGTTAAGGATAATCTGTATTAAATAAATTACACAGAAAAAATTACTGAAGGTAAAAAGGTCAAGAAAATGTTAATGGTTCTCTGTATGGAATCTTAACATTGTGTTTTCTTATAACTTTGAAATTTTCAGATTTTCTACAGTGGGTAAGCATTTCGTGGTTAGATGTTAACAGGGTGATTTTAAATATTTGATTTTTACCTTTTTATATAAGAAGTTAATTGTGTTTAAAAACTAATAACAGATTTGGAGGCAGAAATAGAAATTGTTTGAACAGATGGGCTTCTGCTTTTAAGAAGAGTATGTGGGTATGAGAAGGAAAGAGAGGGACAGGACTTGAGAGAGAAGGGAAAAAAAATTTTTGGAACGTGAAAGCAAAAAGCCAGAGTAAGGTGTGGTAATGCCCAAGATGGAAAAGAGGCTGGTCAGGGAGTTTGGTGGAGAATAGACCTTTGAGCCCAGGTAGCCTGAACTGGGTTTCTCTTGGGCTACAGGTGAGTGAGCAAAATGTGGGTCACTAGTAGGAACAGACCCAGGTGATCTCAGGGGTGGTGAGATATTGAGAGAATGCTTTCATTAATGTAGCTGCTGTGTTTTTCTCCACAGAATTTCTTTGGGTTGAATTCCATGGAAGTTTCTTATTGACCTGTGTTCCTGAACTATGAACCATGAATATTTGAGCTGAGGAATAATTTCTCTTGATAAATAAACAATTAAATACTGTGGACAGTAAGTGTTTGCTCAGTTATTCTTAATGATGTGATTTTGGGCACTTGCATCAGAATTGGTTAGGGATTTTAACTGTTCAGTATTAAAAATTTCATTAATTTAGGACTTTTATTACTCTGTTATTTTGTTCATTTTATTGAGATATGCTGCTAAGTACAGTTTCTTGGTCCTGGGTCATTGATTTTAAGGGGCCTGCATTAGCCTACACGACTATTAGCTTTTAGAAGCGATAGCAATCATTTTTCCAATAAAATATGTCCTTGGGCTTTATTGTCACTGGTAGCCCTACTGGATCAACTACCATACAGATGTAATACATAACTGAAATTTTAAGTTCTTTACTTAGTATTACTTTATTAAAGAGCTACCAGTATGTACATGCAATTTGGAATGTATATCTTTTCCTGTTACTTAACTGAAATTGCATAGTGCCTGCTAATGACTGACAGTGTGTTAAGCTTTCAAAAGAAGTTTTATGACCTTTCTCCCATTTATTTTTTGTTGTGATAAAAGTGATACCACAGAGAGCTCTAAAAATCAAGTTTAGCCCTGGCCAGTGTGGCCCAGTTGGTTGGAGCGTTGTCCCTTACACCAAAAGATGGCAGGTTTGATTCCTGGTCAGGGGACATACCCAGGTTGTGGGTTCAATAACTGGTGGGGGTGCATACTGGAGGCAACTGATCGATGTTTTCTCCCCCAAAATCAATTTTAAATTAAGTTTATTTTATCCAAAACTAACTTAATCGATTGTCATTTTATAACAAATTTTCTTTCTTTTTTTTAAACTTGCAAAAAAGTTTTTTTATTGATATTAGATAGGGGAGGGAAGAGTGGGGAGAGAGAGAGAGAGAGAAAAAAATATCAGTTTTTCCACTTATTTATGCATTCATTGGTTGATTCTTGTATGTTCCCTGACCAGGGATGGAACCTGCAACCTTGGTGTATTGGGACAATGCTCTAACCAACTGAGCTACCCGGCCAGGGCTTTAACTAAAAATTCTTGAGTCTGAATAATGTGAGCTGAATTATACCCAGGTATCAGTGAAAACCTGCAGTTAAAAACAAAGACAAAAACCAATGACAATATACATTTAGGTATGGTCATTAACTCAAGGATTCCTTTTATTTTAAACAGTTTTATATAACAAGTCTTAGAAGCAGTATTCAAAATTACCATAAAAGATATAAGAATTAATACATATCTGCATTCTTAAAAATAGTTCTTTTTGAAGTTAATTGACAAAACTGTCACTTTCCTAAATGAGTATGGTACCATAAACTAATGGAGGAACCATGTTCTCAAAGTCAGCCTAACTTTTCCATTAACAGTCTTGCTTTCCAGAAACAACTGTGCGAGACTTCTTATGCCCAATAACATGTGAGACTTCAGTTTAAGATTAGTGAACATTTGAAATTGAATTTTCTTAAGTGTCTCACAATTGTAGGTAACAGGATATAGGCCCAAGTGAAGATGTAATCAATAAAAATGTATTTCATCAGAGTCTTGAGATATTTACCAAGTATTTAAATGATATCTGATGACCCAGGATTTGAGCCAGACTCATCATTAAATGCAAAATAAACAATTTGGTCTGGTTCATTGTTAAGGTTAATATTGGGGTTCTTGACTCCCCTCCAGTATGAATCCTGCTAAACCCCTTTCACAAGGGAATGTTACTAGTAGTGTGTTACTATTTGAAACTAAAGAGACTCAGTTGAGCACTTTGTGTCTGTTTTCATCAGTAGATACAAAAGATTTACTCTTAAGTCTGACTAGTAAAACAAACTGGAAAAAACATTTTCTATAATATACATGGACAGGCATCAGAATGATAAATTTCAGTAAAATGCACTTTAAAGTAGGAATATTCTTTCACTTAAAGAATAGCATCACATATAAGGAACACATTTAACAAGTTAAACAATAAAATCCTAACTAAATATTTAATTTAAAGACTCCAAACTTTTACAGATAAGGGTATTTGGTAAAGCCAATGTCTGAGCCTAAAATCAGATGCCACTAGAACTGGAGTTCTAATGTCTCTCCAGTCTAAGGCCTGACCACATTTTAAGAGCCGAGAGTGTTAACAGATCCTAATAATTATAGTAGCAATTTTAGCAGATATCATTTTAGAGTAAAAAGGAATGTATTTTTCCTACTGTGGGAGGACTGCAACATACAGGATTCTGTTAGTCATTGTCCCCAAATGGGAAAAGAAGTTTTTTATCACTCTATTTTATTCAAGTATCTTAGTTTTAGGGAGAAGGAAGAATCTGAATTAATTTTAGAAGAGGCTAGAAAGTTACTGTAACTGTAGAAAGGTGTTGACCTTGTGCCCATAAGAACTACTTGGGTTTCTTATTAAAAAATAAATTGCACAAGCAGGAATCAAGACCTCAGAGGAGGGGACTCAAGGGAACCCTTTCCTCAGGGCTTTATTTTTCACCATGGTAATTATACTAACAAAGACTTTAGCAAAATGTGGATCGATTATATAATGGTATGTTTTCACATTGGAGGGGAGAGGTTCCACGGGCACCACAGGGCATGGTGGTGTCTGCATGGAAGAGCAGCTGGGGGCCAGGTGGCACGACGTCTTGGTGATATAGTCCACAAGTCTGTTGTACTGCTGCTCTGACAGTCTCTCTCGGACTCCATCCACCTGGATTCAAAAAGGAAAGATTCTTTAGTTGCCAAACTCTCATAAGCCTTCCCTAACAGAATTATGGCCTTTCTTTTGCCTCGACAGTTTTGATACATTTTTAAGTTATCGAACAAAACCATTTTATCTAAAACGGTGCTTTAATTTTTCCTCTGTGGCACTAATACTGCAATTTCAGCAGTGTTACCAAAGCTCTGCACAAGAATATAAGGACAACCTCATTTGAATAAGCACTTGCTTGATATTACTTAAAATTCTCATGTTTTAAGCTGACGATAATATTCATCAACATCTGTCACTGTTCTTTACTAACCAGCCCAGCAACAAAGAAGTGCCCTTCCTCTGCTTAAATCTGATCACTATTAAAAGCTCTCTGAAATAAAAGCTCCTCAAACCTTTTCAGACAGAACCTTTTCAGTTTGAAAGAAAAAGTGGGAAGAGCACCTCTTTCAAACCAGTGGCTTTGGACAGAGCATTAAGAAAATACCTTTTGAACTGTAACATTTACTGTTTTTATAAATACTAGGATTTAAAGCCAGAGAAAATAAAACTGGGCAGAGAAAGGGGAAATTTTTATGGGAAAAAGGAGGATGCAAAACAAAGTACATTTATGATTCATAAAAGTCTGGCTCATCTTCAGTGGAACTCAAATAGAACTGAGATATATACTAACCTGAGCTCTTAAAGTGAGATTTTCTGAGAAAGCATCCATCTAAGGCACTTGGAGCTATAAATTCTTCCCACCCTGAAACTAGCTAGCTCCACGTCCATCAAGTGGAGTAGTAACGTTTCCAATGTAACTAACTGCTGTCTGTGGGAATCAGATAGCCAATGACCTTTCAGTGGTCTTTACCTGCTACATGTTGGTGAGAGCACTCTGGTAGAATTAAAAACATTTTAATGAGGATTCTTTAGTTTTCAAAGTACTAATGTAAAGAATTTGTATATTTCGCCCGCCAGTCTGGCTCAATGGTTGAATGCGCACCCACACACCAATAGTCACCAGTTTGATTCCAGATCAGGGAACACACCCAGATTGCAGGCTTGGGGTGTGCAGCAGGCAGCTGATCAATCTCACATCAATGTTTGTTTCTCCCTCTCCCTTCCTTTCTTTGTAAAAATCAATAAAAATATGTTTTAAAAAAAGTATATTTATGTGTAGGGCACAAACAAATGCAGACAAGGGTGTCTTAAACTGAAAGCCAGTGGGATGGTAGAGAGTAAAAGGGGCCTGCCAGAATAGTAAGTAGGGTATCTATTAACATTTGGGTCTCATTTTAAGCTAGGGAAGGAAAATAAAGCCCCCTAAAGATTCACTGACACATGGAAGCTGCACCACCAGGCGAAAGCCAGAGCTCTGATATCATTCGCTGGGTCAGGATTCAGCTGGAAAGCTCTGAATACACAAAGGTCTTAATTGCTCCTTCTGAACAGCAGCACAGGAAAGCCCGTGTTGTGAAAGGAATCTGGCCAAGGAATAAATTGACCTTCTGACTCATTTTGAGCCTCTCATAACGGATTTAAGTAGTGTGCCAGGCATATTAAGCAATTATTACCCTAAAAATGGCTGCATTTAACCAAGAAAAGCAAATGCTGATTTTATAAAAAATCTGAATCCTGCCATATTTGAATATAGTGAATGATGTCATCTACAAATTAATTCCTTTTAGAATTCAATGGAGCTGAGCTTCCTAGTATCTAAAGCAAAACCCAGAAAAGCCATTTTGTATAAAGATCTTAAAATACTGTTCTTAGTTTTCCCTGGAAGACAGTGTGTAGGCTTAGCCCAGCTTCATGTCTGGATTAGGCTGGTATGCACTGATGAGCAGGCCAGCCAAAGAAAATTCACTGTCTAGCAGCACCACTGAGTGTCGTCGTCCCCCCCCCCCCCCTTTAGAAAATAACGCTGGATTACAGCACTCCTAAGGAAGGGTTTATTGTCTCGGAAAAGAAAGTATTTTGTTCTGCAGCTTGGATCTCCTTTGAAGGAGTGAGTGGGGGAGATTAAGATTTGGACACAGGACTGGGGACAGTTTCTTATGAAGAGTTGAGGGGAGAGGTAAAGTGGAGTAGATAATGAGAGAGCAATTTGGAGGCTGAGGGCATACTGGCTGTCCACCCTTTCTGTCCAGTGCCAGGCGCTGCTGTGCAAACTCGTGTCTCACAGCTGCCCTGCAGTTCCTGCTCAGTCTTTTCCTGCCTCTGTTTTAGCACCTAATTCCAACCCTCGGTTATCCCTGAACATCAATGGAAAACCAGTATAGAGCATGGTGTTCAGAGTCAGTGCTTCTGCCTCTAACTCAGTGATCCCATGGTCTCAACAGCCTTGGCAACTTCTAGG